AAGCATTAAACGTTGATTTAAAAAGTTGATATAATCAGTTTGTAGAAAAATATGTTATATTATAAATGTTACTATAGTTTTAGGGGGACATTTAACCTTTTGTTCCAAAAATACAAAATAATGACATGGTGGAGCCCTACTGTACAGTGCTACATGTTCTTTTGTTTGGGTTGGGGAATGGTGTTACTATCTGAGCACTTACCAGTTCATCCAGGGCGAAGCTCAGGCTGCCGTCTTCATACAGAATAAAGAAGCGGCGCTGCCATTTCTGTATTAACACACAAGACAAATAAAATCAACACAGCACCATTTTTCTTGAGTAAAAAGTTATGATAAAGATGTATAAAATAAAAAGTGTGTTTCAGCTTTGTGTAATCATGTCCTACCCGCGACCTCTGCATCGGGTTGGCAAAATCTGTTCCCTCAGGCGCCAAACACAGCCAGCCTCCATAGACGGGTTTTGCCTGAAAGTCATGGAGAAAAGTAGAGTTAGCATTCACCAGTATTGATTGACAACTGTTTATATATAATCAATCAATGGTTTATGAAAAAATTCCAGCTAAAATATCAAACATATTCTAGTTCCTGCCATCTGTACTTAAATATATTTCCGTTTCTTTTTTGATTGTTTCACGGTCGATTATGGCATCAATGTTTGTTTTTCTATGATGTGTTGTATTCACCTTGCTGTACTTGGGATTAACCAAAGCCACATTTTGCCTGAGGTGTGTCAACAAAGTAGATCAAATCTAATCTATGTGGGTAGTTTTAGGAGGTCATTTAGAAACAGTGTGAGTCATTTTGAATAATCATTTGAAAGAGTCATTTGAATAATCAGGTTGATCAATAGTGAAACTAATCTCTAGCTGTGGCCCAGATAACTGATCAAGAAGACACTTCATTTTGCTGGTATGCAGCTTTTGTTTTGGTGGTCTACCCAAACAGATACAGTATTGTTTGGGTCGACCACCAAAACAAATCAACCTGATTATTTATTTGGTTTGGTCTATTAAATGTCAGATAAGGCCTCTTCGATTTTTGTATCGCTGTCTGTTTGTGCTGAAAACTCGCTGGCTGTATACTTCTCTATCAAAGTGTTATGCACACAGTATGTGTTTTGCAAAGTGTTCAGCACAGCTGAGGGTAAAGCCATGTGCAATGTTGAGCAACAGTGCTGAAATTACAGGGCACAGTGAAACCAGGCAGGGGGACAGAGAGTAATAACATATTTTAACAATGTGAGGCATGCAGGAAGCCGTCATGATGGACTCCTTACATCACCTGCACATGACAGACCTGCAGGAGCAATGTTTTCAGAGGCGGTAAACCAAGAGTTTAGAGACACTTAATGTGAGCACAAAGACTTGTCTATTCTGCTGGAATGTTTCACCAAAAACAGGATTGAGAGATCATTTTGATATTTGATCAGCCTTATTATTTGACATATCCAGTAAAGAGCAAACATTTGAGATTCCACCATCTCAAATAGCTCTTTTATAGCCGCAGGTATGTTTAAAATGAATCAAAACCATTTGATCTTTTGACGAATCAATTATCACTAGAAATTTCAATACATCACCTAGGGCTATTGAGATTGCAAAATATGTGTCTTTATTTTTTACATATTAGACAAGATGATTACCCAAGTTAACAAAATGTATAATTTATTCAAAGAGATGTAATACTTTACATTTTGTTTGCTAGTAGCTTCAACAGTATTAACTAAACGTGACATGTTCGTAAAATCATTCCTGACATGAGTCATGTGTCAACAGATCAAATACTTATATTGATATTTGTTATGTATTTGGCTTTTAAAACTTCTGTTCTTTTACTTCAACTGCTTTTTCTGGGGCTTTTAATGAAGGATTACTTTCACTATTTGCCTTCTTATTTTAACCTTAAGTAAGTTATGTCAATAATACTTCCAAACTGACTGGGATTAAGGGACTGTTTAAAAATGACCAGGCTGAGGAGGGAAGGCCGAAACTGATATTTCTGTTTTTTATTTGAAAGACCCGCCTCCCTTGCATTATTAATATCTTACTCGACCCACTTAATGACAACAAAAACAACACCATCCACACCCTTATATCTCAAAATGTGGTACTTGGTTGGTTCAACTTATTCCACAATTAATAAAATAAAATAAAACCCATAAATAATCAAAACAGTAGTAATCTCAATTTTAAATATATTTATTGAATCATTATTCTCAATGCATTTGTGTACAGTCCCTAACTAAGCAGACATTTTCAGGCATTTTTCACTTTTTTTTGGACTAAACAGATAAATAATAGAACATTAATTGAAGGAAACCAGCAAACATCCGGTCAATTAGGGATGCTAACATCCATACAATAGTTAGGCTATGTTGGAAAACGATGTCGAATAAGAGTTACACAAATATGTTTTGAGTTGTAACAGAGGTGACAGTTTCATTTTAATAAGCAATGTTAGGGTAAAACCACCTTTCTTGTTGAAAAAAGTAACAAACATTGCCTAAGTAAAAATGTAAAGTTTAACGTTAAGAAAGAGGATGCTAGTAACAAAAGAAACAGACCACTACGTCGAATACGAGTAACAGAAAACATTTCAAAATATATTTTAATCTGTTAGAAAGGCTGTTTTACTTTTTAAAAGAATTGACTAAGTGTGGTGTCGCATTAATGATAATAATACAAGTGTAACGTTACCTGCTCCATGTCATGGTCGTTCAGCAGATGCAGCTCGCGGGACTTGAAGCAGTTTTGACATTTACTTTTATTAAAGATGTTGGCTTGAAATTTGTTGCACGGGTTCGTCCCTTTTTCTCCCGACATGTTTCGCTCCTGTGCTGCAGAGTAATCCACACACAACCCGCACTCCCTCCTGCGATGTTTGGCATTGAATGGTGATCCTGAACCAACATCTGTCAAACTGTTGACTCTCTATCGTCATGGGCGGGTCATCTGACGCGGTACATCCAAACAACATCCGGTCACAACCTTCAAAATAAAACAATATATGTTTTATTTATTTCTCTAGAATAAATAAATAAAATTAGAATATACATCAAGTTACCAAGGACAAATCAATATGTTATTGATTACTTTGTTTATTTTAGTTAACATATTTTCACATTTATAACTAATACAATGAAAGAAAATACAATTGAAAGGAAAAAATGTATAAATGTAAGTGTGTTGCAGCCTATGTACAACAGTCAATACAAAAGTGACAAAATAAAATGTAAAGGTCATAGGTGTTCAAATACATATTTTTCCAGGTGGCTGAAATACTTTTGTGCGCCTCTCCCCCACCATCAGCAGGTCATTGCTTATCTTCCTGCTGGTACTCCTGTCTGTTTCTCCAAAATGCCACTAACTATGGCCAAGCACTTTAACCCTCCTGTTGTCTTCGGGTCAAATCTGACCGATTTACTACTTTCATCAATCATAACTTTTTTGTTTTAGATTCGATTGCATTAAGGCTTTATGATATCCTTCACAGTAGACATTTGAACATGTACAATTGCTGATCACCACTTTCATTGAATTTTGGATGATTTAGTCAACTTTGTAACACCCATGGTGTTCCCGGTCAAAAATGACCGCCATAAAGAAAAGGAATATTGTAACCATCCGGATCAGATAAAACACACACACAAACACCCACACACACACACTCTAGATGTGTTCACCCCCTTATGTGCCCAATCCCCCCAGGTGAATCACACCTGGCACACACAAACACACACAGAACAATTTAATACATTTCCCGCTCTTATGTGCCCATCCCCCCAAATGGATCACACCTGGCACACGCAATACATGTTCAGTGTCTGTTCTTTGTATATTTACTGCAGTTGTTCATACCAGTAGTCTGATACAATATTTACAGTTTGAAAGGGTGTTAAATGAAATTTGGTGATGATTAATGTTTTTTGTGTTAATGTAATAGCAGTTAAAACAGGACCGGTCAAATTTGACCGCGAACACCAAAGTAAGGGGGGCAGGGAACACAAAGACAATAGAAGGGTTAAATAAATGAATAATAAGAGAAGGTGAGTATGTAATATTCTTCCACATCCAAAATAAATGTAACCGAGTAGTATTTATGTGGTTGTTTTAACACAGTTGTTCTGTCCTTGATGTGTGTTTTTGGTGTATATCTGTCGTATATGTGTTTTCTTGGCTGTGTTTTGGCACCACCTTGTGGTGGTTGTTTGACACTGCTGCTTTCTAGTGGTTTATTCGATTCCTGTTGCTAGGAGACCGAACTTGTTCGTTCCCGGGTGTGCTCCACGTGTAGCTTGGGTTGTTTCATGAACGGACGTCTGCTCTCCATGGGCTGTGCTTCGTATTTCCCGCTGGTTCACGCATCGTCTGTGAGTGTTATTGTCCGACAGACTGTGGCTTCATGGGAATATGTTGTATGTAAAATGTTTATGTTTGTAGGAATGCAGTGAGTATTCTTTGCGGCTAAGCTACTAGCGGCTAGGCTGATTAGCTTCTCAGTTTGTGCACCGTAGCTCATTGTGTGAAGTATTCTGTCTATTTAGCTCGTCAGTCGGGCAGTCAATAATAAACTGTTATGTCTGTATTGTCTTTACAGTTTCACCAAGTAAAGAGACTTCAGTAAAACTGACAACTGTGCTGGAGTTTTCTTTCAAACGGTTTAACTGGATGGATAGCTAGCTCAGTGCTAGTGAGACCCTTACAACAGTGTTATTACGGATATGACTTAAGATGTTAATAAAAGATAATAGAGGGACCTCTGTGATAAAACAATTAGGTATTTGAATAAATATCTACTATTTACACATTTTAAATACATCAATAACCAGCCATAACTGATCCAATCATAATGCACAAAAGGATTCCTCACAGACAGACTGACAGTGGATGGAAGCATGTATTCAAGGCAATGGCAGTGGCTGAATTTGTACAAAATAAAAATAAATTAAATTCTTGGCCATTCAAAAACATATAAGACAGAGTGGCTTTTTATGATCTGTGATATTTATTGCACTAAAACATGTGGTAACAGAACATTATCTCACATCCCGATATCAGACAAATCATTTAGGATGTTTGCGCTTGCACTTTTCAAGCAGAAGTTATTTTCTAATAATACATTAATGCTTTCATTGGATCCATTTTCTTTGATTGTTCACAAAAATAATAAATGTTTTTGAAAAAAGTCATTCCGTTTGCGATCAACAAAACTTAAAGGTGCATTTATTAACATATACTGCTTCGTTTTTTTTATTAGACCAACGGAAGCCGTTTGCTTTTCTTTAAAGTCATATTTTACACAAAAGGCCCTTGATTTAAGGGTGACAAAACACACTCACATTTACCCCATTACCGTTAAAATGTTTTAAAAAGATTACGTTTAGATTTAGTTAGGGCTGTACCGAATGCCATCTTTAAAAAAAATGTGAAGCTTCAATTGAGGTTAAAATATATTTTGTCATATTTTATTACATCGTCAACCTGAAAAGCGAGGACAATTTGATGTTTTTGTTAGAAATTGCATTTAGTTGAATAACATATCATTGAATGAATAAAACAGGTTAATATTGGTACCACCATTTGTGTGCAGCAAGTAGGAAAGCAAACAAAGTTTTTTGGACCAAAGTCAAAATGTTGATCTTGAAACACAAACAAATATGGATTGAAGCAGATTATTTGGTTCTTGGTTGGATAAAAAAGTTTAGATTTTTTTGTTAAAGTGTTATACAAAATGTTTGGAGTCAGAAGCAATGCAATGCAGCCACTACTGGAATCAATTCTACACAAAGTATAATAAAACCAATCTTTATCTGCAACCTTGAACAAATACCAGCTTTAAAGTAAATGAAAAGACATCAGACAAAAAAAAAGAAGCTTTGCAGCATTCAAATGTTAATTTAATATTTGAATGTAGCATTTTAGTTGAAGCTTTGAACTGCTCAGTACAGCCCTGTATTTGATCTATGTGAGCAGTGTAATAGAGTTGTATATGTTTAATGACTAATATATTACGTAAAGACGAAAATATTACTTTTCAAAAAATACATTTTTTTTTTTCTCATAGCCACACAATAAACATTTATGATGGCTTTTCAAATCGAAAACAGTGAAATGAATGTTTGTGCTCAGTAGGGATATCTAAACATTTTGTTTTGTTTTTTTCTCATATAGTGCATCTCCAGAAGACAGCTACTCTGGCATCGTCAGGCAGTATTAGATAAGGGAAGATACATGTCACATTCCTTCTACTACAAATGTAATGGATATTGATAGGGATGTCACAAGAACAGATACTTAGGTACCAAGTTGATGCAAGCATTTTGATCGTATGAAAGTACTTTTTCTACAGAAATTAGGGTACTGTTGAAAGAGGTGTTCATTACATCACTAGCACTCATTTTGGAAGAACGATTAGTTCATGTTTGCCGTTAGCAGCCGGTTTAGTGGAAGGGCCATAGAGTTTCACTGTGAAGCGTTCAAAATGATTAAATCAGCGAAGGTAAATCAAATCGTTGTCATGACGTGTTCAAAAAAGGTCTTTTAAAATGTTGTTTTTGCCAGCTCTGTTGTGATTGGTCAACCGTATAGAGATGAGTCAATGTGTCAAATTTCCCGCCCCTTAGTAACATACAATTACACATTAGGTATCAAGAATTGTGGAATTTCATTGGTATGGTTATCCACTACTAAATATCTGGCATCGTGACATCCCTAGATACTGCAGTATTATTTTGTATTCACTCAGTTCAGGTCACTGTATGGGTGTTGAAGCTAAAGCTAGGAGTTAGATATTCGGTGAAGAAACACACACTTCAGTGCAGTTTGTTAGGTAGAAGATGTAATAAAATAAGTATTTTCTTAGGTAAAGAAACCGCCCGAACAGAATTCTCCTTTCACAAACAGAAAGAAGGACTCTCCTGTGCTTTCAGAACTCGTGTCTGTGATACTGGTCCGGATCGTAGTATTTGGTGACCACCACTCTGTTGGCAAACTTGCGGCCGGTGAGGGCTTGCATGGCTTTCTGACAGTCTGCAGCAGAAACATACTCCACAAAGATCTGGAGGGAAAACAAATGAGATGTCATTTATATGTGTTATTCAGAAGCTGGAGAGCTGTGTGGAGAGTTCATTTAACATGTACATACAAATAATACATCGCTGGAAAATTAACAAAAAAATCGACATCATACATCTCTCAAATCTCACTTATTCACGCTAGCTTTCAATCTCTAATCATCAATAACTGAACTAAATAAGTGAGGAAATAAGCATTTAAATACTGATGCGTTAGTCTGAATCTGTGAGAAAACCATGCCCTATTCATTCAGAAAAAAAAACATGAATAAATAAAAGGGAAATAAATGTTGCATTATGAAATATAATTTCCAATGAATGTAGTCCTTGTTTTGAAAATATGCCTGTTTGTAATATTTTTTATTAAACTATATTGATTAATTTATATTATATTTTGTATTATTCGTTAGTTTTTATTTATTGCCCCCTTCATCGACTTTGCATATAAACAGCGATATTAATACATTTCATAGAGATATATTCTTTAATGTATTTATTTATTTAATATGAAATACAATATTACAGAACCCCTTTAACAGAGCCCTGATGCATTAGGTTCAAATTACAAACATATGGATAATGGAGCATAAAGCCTCAGAAACTATTTTATATAATGTTTTCCAGTTTGAAAATGAAAAGCAAGGCAGTGAGTGGTCAGATTGAAGGAGATAACCTACACTGTGCTTTGCCAGACCAGAACGAGGAAGGCAGAAATCGATGTGCTGGCTTTGTAAGAAAAATGTAACCGGTATGATAATAACTGGTATAAAGTCTAAACTAGTACCTTCCCACAGCCGGGGACCTCCACCCCATCCACGGGCCGGGGGATCTCGATGGAGCGCACGCTGCCGTACTTGCAGCACTCTTCTCGGATGTCCTCCAGGATCTCCTCGTAGTCCTTGTCGTCCACCAGCTCCTCGGGCATCACCATGTTGAGAAGGCACAGCACCTCCGTGGGCAGGCCAGAGTTCTGCAGCCTCTGCAGGCCGGGGACCTGCAGCGTCACCGGGGTCTCGATGATGGAGGTCTGGAGGAGTCGCACACATCAGGGAACACTTCAGTCTCCATTCTCTGACTTAAAGCAAATATATTAGAATATATTTCCCATAAAGCCTGCTGCTTCCTGCCATGCACTCCCTGCTTGTTTATTTATTAATGATGATCTTGTTTGTTTACCGTTGTATACATTAGTCAGGCCCTTGGTGGATTTAATTTCGGCCCGCAGGATAATTTCTAATTACTATTAGATCTGGCCCGCCGGTATATTGCACGCACACCTTCACTCAATCCTGAGGGTCTCCTCAGCTCAGAGCCTGAGCCCAAACATTGATGAACTTGCACCCAAGATGAGATGCCAAGTATCTGGCTTGAACTAGCATCACAGAGCAGCAAACTGAGTTTAATGGATGTTTCCTTGTGCACTTTCTTTCTTGAGACAACAGGGCATGTTTGGTTTTTTCTTTGAAGGAAATAGTTTTATTGAAGCTGTTGTTGACCTGTGGAAAAATGTGATCATAAGAAATGACTCCGGAAAAGCTGCAGATAGAGCCATAAGAAATGAATGCAACTGATTATGTAATGTTTAATGTTGAAAAACAATAGGCAATAATTTAAGCTTTGTTAGTTCCAGGTTTAATATGTGCAATAAGTTCCTTTTAATAAGTTTTGCAATAAACATTGAACCAGTCCGGCCCTCGACTAGTACCCATTTTCTTATTTTGGCCCACTGTGTATTTGAGTTTGACACCCCTGCTTTAGTGGTTCCCAACCGGGGGAAAGTCAACCCCTAGGGGTACTTGAGGAGATTGCAGGGGGTACGTAGAAATATTAGTGATTGCAATATATTTCCAAACTAAAAAAGTGAGTCTTAATATAATTTTTTTCTCACTGACAATAGGTGTAAATATCAAGTTTAAATGTATTTGTATTAAGGGTGAGGTATAAAAGTCATTTTCAAGGGGTACACGAGACAAAAAAGGCTGGGAACCACTGTTATACTTAATGCCAACAGAATACATTCGTCACAGCAGGAAGAATAAGGGTACAAATAATTCAATTTAGCTGCTAATTTACAGTCCATGTATTTTACTTTTTCCAGGAAGCCCCGGATTTATAACCATACAAAAATACAGATTTTTTTAACTTAGTAACCAGCACACTCCCATACCTAAATACTTAAAAATATAAAGCTGTAATAAATATAAAAAATAACTTTATGTTACTCTTAATATCTCTTTTTTTGTTCTCTGTCATTGCTGTTGTTGTTGAAAAATTACCAAAGCAATCTTCCCGCAGTTATATTTGCTGAGAAGTAATTTAAAAAGGGGCACTGATTCAGCACAGGGCTGGACCATAAGGTCAACATCTTTGATACATTTCATAGGCAATTTAATATCTCACTATACAAACATCATAGCATGTTTTCTAAGTAGTCTATATGCAATTTCCACACGTGAAATCCTAAAAAAGAAAGTATAGTAAAGTAAAACATAAATTAATATAGGCCTTGGCCCTGCTGTGATAGCAATATACATGTACAGGGTATATGCAGGAATCCTGAAGTCAAATGTAATACCTTTCAGGACCTTTTTTAAGACCCTTTCCATACATTTTAAGACCTCATCGCCATTTTGAGTTTTAACCGGTTACATTGGCGACCCACTTTACCTCACATTTACTATATACAGTATTGATTGTCCTTCCTCCTTATCTTCCAACCATTTGGACGCAAACTTGCATTTCCCCATAACGATGTTGTTTAACAACCGGCGTAAACGGACCTTCGCGCGTTATCAGTCAGTGAGCGTGCGATGTCCTGTTCAGGTGACGTCAAATCCAACGGGATGCCATAAATAAACTACACAGAATCACACTACACACCTACGCAATGATTACATTCAGGCACACTGTAGAATACAACCTCTTTGGACAATTTATATACTTATTGAAAACAAGCTACAAAATGTAATACCTTGGAAAATGCCGTTTAATACTTTTTAATAGCCTTAATTTTCGCTAAATTGATTTATCAACTTTTAATACTTTTTAAGACCCCGCGGACACCCTACTGTTTTGACAATAAATATATTACCCTAATGCAGCGTACCTAAGCTCCATCAGGGCCTTGAAGAAGTTAAAAAGTTTGATTGACTCACAGGAGTTGCGTTTTTAGCTCCCACACTCGCTCTTTGGACTATCAGCTTTTTGTCGCCCAGTTGCATCCCATTGAGCCCAGCTACTGCCTGACAGAGAAAACACACACGTTAAAGTAAAAAACGACACAGTATATAATCCGACACATAGAAAACTATAATTACCTGATCTGTAGCGCTGATATCGACATATTCGCAAAAGGCGTAACCCTTAGATAGCGAGGTGGCGCTGTCCTTCACCAGATTAAACGCTTTGAGAGGCCCGAACGACGTCAGGAGCTCCTTCACCTGCAAACAGCCAAGACCGCAGGATGACTGATATTACAAAGAGAACATGCAGGAAGTGATCCATTTGATACCTAAAAGCATCACATCACAATCCAATAGATAAAGTGATAACTGGAAATGACATGTATGCAGTTAAGTAGACTTTACACTGCATTCAAATGTTCATGTCTTTTGGGATTTTAAAAGGTTTAGGATCCACATTAGCGTTAGCAATAGCTATTCTTCCTGGGGTCCAAACACATACAGTCAAACACACACATACAGTATACACACTATAGTCACATGAACACAGAAAACCAAAACAGCTCATCGACTGAATTGACCAAAAAGGTATGAATCCCTCAAGAAATAATACATCACAGAAAATGGTGCGAAGTAAACCAAAAGTGATCTTAATTAGATTTAATAGATTGAGTTTAAATGCATTTAACCAGCTACAGGCACAACGGTTGGACGCAAATAATGCGGGAAAAGGATAACATTTATCTAATATTCAAATTAGTTTTTCTCCCGAGAAATGTTGGAAGGTAACAGAAAAATGATTTTATTTAGATTAAAAAAGTATTAGTTTTTTCAGTTTCAGGCAAATAAATCACAACATTTAGTTAATATGCAAATTATATCAAATAAGCTGTACTAAATTCCTATTCAAAGTAATTTTTTCCACAACATTGTGCAAGGTAAATAAAAAAAGATCTTTGTTATTCATTAGATCATAACACTTGGAAAATGTGTTTTCTTACCTTTATATTAAACGCTGAATTAAACCCCCCTCCCCATACAAAACTAATGATTAACCCCCACTAAACGCGCTCCAAATGCATGATTGGAGACAGGAAGTAGCCTGCTGGCAGGGAGTGTATCCTGTGGGGACCAGGATGTCTTTACTTGCCTTGTGTTACATGTTGGCATGGCAGCAGTAGATGAGAACTACTGAACAAATTAAGAGCGCAGACTTAACGATCTTACAGGCCCCTAGCTGGGGACAAAGTGGGGGAACAAAAATGAAAGAGCTGTGAGTATCAACGCAGTGGCAAGAGACTGCAAGAGTTAGATCAAAAATAGAAGTCAAGAATATACATCGGTCACATGACAGCTAGTTAGAGTAAAAGAGACATAATTCAATTCACTGTGGACATTGAAATCATTTGCACAGCTGAGAGCAAAGATGGAGCTGTGGAAACCTTTGGTCCTTCAGAGTATTAGAAGCCTACTTATGAGCACATTTGTACTTTCACTTTTTATACTGTCAAAGGAAAAGTCCAACTAGATGTTTCAAAAGGATGACATTGCACATTTCTGTTCAAGCTACCTGTTTTTAAATCTGCCTGTTCTCCACCTTACTGTACATTCCAATACTGCAATATTTTATTTATTTGGAGTATTTCGTTATCTTCCGGCAGCTCTTAACGGTGGGTTTTTGAAGAACCAGTAAATATGGTGTACCTTGCTACTGTATGAACAGGGGCTTTACATTCATTGCTGATTTATCGAACAGAAAAAACACTTTTTTTTGCTATCAATCGATTACTTATTTAGAAGAGCCATTATAGTTTGCTAACTTCAGCAATAATGAAATATTCACAGTTGGTAAGGTACTAAAATTAATTATCAAAAGAATTCAAGAAAAAAGGTGGACTTTTTCTTCGACAATATGGACTCATGGCCAATATTGATGCCAAATGCAGAAATAAATATAAATAAATATCAGTTTATCAGCCTTTTGTGTAAATATACTGGACTTTGCTTACCTTTCTTTAATCAGTGTGCATGAGAAAGGTATAAGCAGTTTATTTTGTCACAAAAAGCCATCTTAAATGCTAGCATTCATGTAATAAATGACACGAGGTGATTATTGTGATATCATAGTTTAATGTTGGTATTAATTATCTTGAGAATTGGTCCATTGTGAATACTTCTACAACACAAATACAATCCATTTAATATGAACCTACTTATGATTTATTATGATGATTTTTAGGGATTCTTTTCTGGGGTCACGTTCTGTTTCTGGCTTTTTTTCTCTACCACAACAACGTTTTGGGTTCTTGATGTAATAAGGAAATGTATGACATATTTTGTGCATGTTTATAGTGTGACAAAAAAAAGCCTCCGCAAGTGTGAGAATAAGGAAACATGATTGTGCCTGTTCAATCTGTTCTCAGGGAAATACCTGGTCATCATTAAGGTAGTTGGGCAGGCCTCCTATAAACAGTTTGTGGGGAGAATCAGGTACGACTGTGGAGACAACGCCTGCAGAGAACAAAACAACAACAAAATACATTTCATATATCAGAAAAAAAAATTTAAATGGGCCCTATTGCTGCAGCACCTATTTTCACCCTCTGTCTGAAACCAGAGCCCAGTCTGCTCTGATTGGTTAGCTGGCTGGCTCTGTTGTGATTGGTCAACCGCTTGGAGATGTCCTTACCCTTATGGTGCATTCACAACAGACTTAAAGCGACAATTCGCAATGCGTTACTCGCACAAGATGAAAGATGAAGAGAGAATGATAAACCGATGAGCTGACATTACTTAATGTTACCATGGTAACAAACCTGGGACGTGGAAAGCCGGCTGCTCTGAGATTCCAGGCAGAGGCCGGTAGTCGTGAGGTCTTCTGATCTTCAGTGATTGACCCTGAAAAATGATTCCATCGAAGGCCATCGCCTGTGTCGTCTCATCTACAGACCGAAACTGTAAAAGGGAAATCATTTGATACTGGCACATCTGGCACATTTTATTTGATTTTTCTTATGATCAAATAATGTGATGATTATTTTGAAGAAAAAAGCCTGTTATTCACAAAAGTAACATTACAGTTATGTTTATTTGTGTGGAGAATGTTTAATATGTGTCTTGTATTTCTTGTACATTCATATTTTTCATTATTTCTTAAGTTTTACAAACCGGAATTTTCCTTTTACATTGATACAATGGTGGTAAACAATTTAGTAATTTATTAATCGTAATTTTAAGATAATAAAGATTACAAAAAGTAGTAACACAATGATTATAGTTATGTGTGAAATGTAGAGAACAAGGATAAAATAACTTTGATTTACTGCTGGAAAGAAATTGTCCTATGTTCTTATTAGAGATTCAATGACTTTGTTTAGAAAATATACAAGAAACTGTGAGAATATAACGTCATACATTTGTGGTGTAATGAGGTTGCTCTAAACTTTAACGCTTCTTTCCTTTGATTTGGGGATTTTATGTAAATTTATACCTGTAGAGGCTAAGCCAACTCTTTAAGCCTCTGAGGATCTGCTATGTTGGCGTAATTGACGCACACAAAGTTTGCTGCTGAATAAAAGTCCGAAACAAAGTTTCCAGTTCGATACAGTCCATTTATTTCCTTTTCACTGGTTTCCATTTAACTTGCTATCATTCACCATACACGATATTACGGTTCACACAATACCTTTTGTAAATGTTTGTAATCCCGTGTTTGTGTGTGTGCTCCGTGTGTGCTCCGTGTGTGCTCCGTGTGTGTGTGTGTTCTCCGTGTGTGGTCCGTGTGTGGTCCGTGTGTGCTCCGTGTGTGTGTGTGTTCTCCGTGTGTGGTCCGTGTGTGTTCTCCGTGTGTGCTCCGTGTGTGGTCCGTGTGTGGTCCGTTTGTGGTCAAAAACTGTATGGCCTTCCGGCGGAACCTCTAACCACAAACATAGGTTCCTACCTTTATACCCACAGTGTTAATTGGCTCCTACAATACCTTTAAATGTAGTAAATGTACAACTTCTTGTCAAATGTTTTACTTGACCTATATATGCCATATATTGGCAACATGTACCTCTAGGAAAGCGAAGTTTTTGTCCTGATTGATCTGCACAGCCAGGACCGGGTTGCTGGGGGCTTGTGAGAGGCCGGCGAGTCTCATCTGAGCGTTGAAGAACTCGGCCATGGACTCCTGGGGAGGAAGAGAACAAACAGCATGGCTGCAAACAACATGAACATATCAGTGTTTGGTGTAAAAAGCACATACGAATCAGGAAGTCAAAGAAACAATAGACACTTTACCTCAGTTACTCCAAAGGGAATGTTTCCTACATAGAGGCGTCTGGCCTGTCTGGTCATCTGGCTGCCAACGATGGGCACTTGCGTCGGAGCTGAAGCCAAGCCGCCGCTGGTGGAGGTCGCCAGCAGAGCGATGGTTGGTATCTGCCCGGCCGCTGAGGGATGGAGTGAGAAACGTCAGCTAAAAAACTCTTAACTTCTGCAAAGTCTCCTCCGTCTTTCAGAGAAAACTGCAAATAAATTAAAGTGTTTGGTGTTTCAAACTATTTACTTGCTGGTCTCTACTTTAAATAAAAGGGTTATTACTTTTTTTTTTTCGACCCCTGCAGAATCCTAAATTATGTTTTTTTGAATAATAATGAATATAAATAATATCAAATGAAAGATCACTTCTAACAAAATCTCTAAATACATTGAAATACTAAAGATGACAGAACTTGTTAAAAAAAATGAAGGATTTTTTTTTAAGACACATCCTATTAATGAAAAAACACAACCATTTGAATGTGGAAGAAATCTAAATAGATGTTCTAATTTTTTGTATTTTAAAATTGGCCTGTTGAAAATCCTTTTACTGTGCATCATTGACCCATTTGCAATAATATTACTGTCATTATATGAATATTAAATGTGAATATAAAGAGTGTCAGTGTAATGAGATTATAAGAACTTATTCCGAAACATTTATTTAGTGCAACATGAAAAAAGTTGGAATGAATGGGTTTTAGTCACTCATGTTTTGATTCTTTGTTTAACTTTTCGTCATTTTCTTTGCTATGTACCCCTGGATATGAAGACAACTATCGCTGGATTACTTTGATACTGAAGAAAACTGAAAAACAGAGCTTCTCTGGCAGGTTGTGAACAGAACACCTTTTTTCTTTTACTTCAATCATATTGACTTATTTAAACACTATGGTATGTGCAGGAGCATTTACATCCCCTGGAAGTGTATGTCACACTGATATAAACTCAAAATATGGATTATCAATAATTTTTTCAAAGTGACAGACACATTGGATTAACCTATGGATTAACCTTCAGCCGCGTTTTTTACGTTTTAATGCCATTGAACACGACTTTTGACCAGAATAACAGCAAAAGGTGAGCATACAGTATCTCCGTGTTTTGCTACCTAAAGCTGCGTCGTGTGATGTCTGTATTTGCTTCCCCTGTCGCGGGTTCTGATCGCTCAGTGATGATACTTATATTTCTAGAATCTGTGGAATCTCAGCTTGTTAGCTAAGCTTGTTTGAGCAGATCCGATAAGTATATCGATCGATTTATACCTAGAGTTCTGTGCTAAGTGCGTTAGCATGTTTTCACTCAGGGCTCATTTAGACCCTTCTTGTGAGACTTGTGTTTTGTTTCGGTAAAAATGGTTCGTATCATCAGTTAGCTGAGTTTCTTCCCGTTAGGATGGTATGACACATTCATAGTTTTTTAAATATTAAGAAGCCCTGAGACGCCGGCGGGGTCTTTGGGGCTTAACAGGTTAAACTGTTTCAAGAATTGTGATAATTATAACCCCTTTTGGAAGCAGAATTAGCCACGTTCAGGTCTGGATAAAGGCTGTCAAATATTATTACTACTTGAAGTTATAGGTCTGAAAACTTTTTTTTTTTAAATAATATGATAAGTACCTTGCATAGCTTTATATTGCATTGTTGTGATGTGTTCAAAGCCAGGAGGAGGCACATCCCAATATTTGCAGGTCCTTTTCTTCCTGGTTCTCCTGGGGGAGTGGCTGCAGAGACACGGAAACATAACGTTTAAGCACTATGTTCACACAGAGAGGTGTGTGTTTAAGTAAACACGAGTGAGAGTGAATGGACAAGCTTGAATAAAAGTATGATTATCACACTATAAACAATTTCTGTGAGAAATAAAAGTACTGCATTTAAAATGTAAGTAGAAGTATTTAAGTATAATCAGGAATAATAAGAGAGAAGATGTCCCAGATGGTTTCTGTTGAACTATTATATAAGATATCAAGAGATCATTATGGCATTGGGATATATATTTTTTAAATCCTCTGGAGCAGAGAGAGGAGCTGTGGATTATTGTTATTGATTAATGCATCAGTGTTTCTTAGGGTCAAAAACACTAAACTCACAACTTAAAATGAAAGCGTTTAGTTTATTTAATAAAAGAGCACATGTTCAATGTGAAAAGTGACAGTAGATATAGATTAGTTGCAATTTGGTGCTATATATATATATATATATATATATATATATACATACATTAAAAGAAAAATTATTAAAAAAAAGAAAATTATATATATTTCTTTTTTTGAACACCTTGAATTTCAGGGGGGGCACGGGGCTCCGTTGGCGGGGCGCAGCGCCCCTCCAAGACAATGGTAGGGGAAACACTGGCCTCTGATATTCGTGTAAAGGAGTAAAGGCATAAAGTGGCATAAGGTACAGGTACCTAAATCTCGTACTAAAGGACAGAAGTGGGAGAAGTACTCAGATCTTGTTCTTACGTAAAAGTAGAAGTACCAGAGAGTAGGAATACTCTGTTACAAGTAAAAGTCCTGAGTTCAAAATGTTACTCAATTCAAAGTACAAGTATTAGCAGTGGCTCAGTCAGTAGGGGCTTGGACTGTGAGCCGTAGGGTCACCGGTTCAAGTCCCCGACCAGACCTAAAATATGGAGTGTGGACTGCTACTTGGAGAGGTCCCAGTTCACCTCCTGGGCCCTGCCATGGTGCCCTTGAGCAAGGCACCGGACACCCCCCCACCCCCATTGCTCCCCGGGCGCTGTACAATAGATGCCCACTGCTCCTAGTACTAGACTCCTGGTACTAGGATGGGTTAAAAGCAGAGAACACATGTCACTGTGTGCTGTGTGCTCTGCATGTGTGACCATTAAAGAGGGTTTCATCCCTCCCAATTCTATTCTATTCTATCAAAATACACTTAAAGTACCAAAAATAAAAGTATTTATAATGCAAATTGTCCCATTTCAGAATCATAGATATGATATGTTTTGATTATTAATATTGATGCATTAAAGTCTTTCAAATCTGTAAAGTAACTAAAGGTATTAAGTTAATGTAGTGGAGTCAAAGTACGCGATTTACCTCTTAATTGCAGTGGACTAGAATTACAAAGTAGCAGTAAATGGAAATACTCAAGTAAAGTACATGTACCTCAAAAATTAAGTTGAGTACAGTACTTGAGTAAATGTACTTAGTTACTTCCCATTTCTGCTAAACTAAAGTATAGTATATATAAACTCAAGTATAGTGAATGCTTTTAACCTGTAAAGCTGGGGTGTCCAAACTACGGCCCGGGGGCCAAATGCGGCCCGCGGACCATTTTGAATCGGCCCTCAGCAAATTCAAAAAGTATAATGGAATATGGCCCACAACTGAGGCTTCTGTTTTAAGGGATGAGCTGCCCACACTCACAAGCATCATTTACCTACATTCAGGGGCGGATCTACCGGGGTAGCATGGGGTGGCAACTGCCACCCTAAAAAATAGCCTTGCCACCCCAGCTGCCACCCCAGTTGGCATCTTTGTTTTGAAAGAAAAGTTGTGGCTCATCGGACATTTATGAGAGAAAATCTCTAATGTCCGAGTGCAAGTGAATGCAGCACAAGAGGCGAGTCTTGTAACCCCTCCCCCCGTCCCTGGCGCGAGCTTGGAAATATGATTGGCGGCTATTTCATTTGAACGGGGGGATGGCGCAAAACGAGAAGCAGTCGGACTCAAGTACACGGAAAGAATGAGGTATTTGCGGTCTACAATGACAGAGAAGAGACTGTCAAGTTTGGCTGTACTCAGCATTGAATCAAAACGCACTAAAGCTTTGGATCTTAATACGTTTGTGAGGCGTTTTGCTGAACAACATGGTAATCGCCGCATTCAGCTGTAATAGGCATGCCAACTTGATGCTCTGCTCACGGATGACTCGATGAGCATAAAAAACAGTTAAGATGATGACCTTGTATGTGTGTATATTTTTTTTTTCTTTGTGGGGGTCTTCCCCCAAAAAACAGTTTTAAGTCCTGAGAAAGTCAAATAAGACGGTGTGTAAAACTACACTGCCCAGCCAAAAAAAAGTAACCACTTTGATTTAACTAGGCCAGTAGGTAAGGGCTTTCCACTGGATAATAACTGCAGCGATGTATATGTTTTTGCTGAATACACGTTTTGTAACCCTAACTGATGCAGTTAGTCACTTCTTTAATGTTTGTTCTTTCTGATGTAAAGTCAAGGTTGTAACTGTTTGCAGTAAAGTCGTGGGGCGCTGAACTGTTCCTTTAAATCTTTTGAATTTTGATACATGATATAATTACTTGTCTTTGACAGCTGATAGGAATAATATGATTGTTAATATTATCATATTCATTCAGACAAACATCGATGAGACAGTTATTTAATGTACTTATTGCAGCAGTCTGCATAGATTTGGTACCCCTGCTGGTCTAAGAGTGAAACAAACTCATTCAGTTATTGTTCAGTTAAAATTCATTAAATTATGTCTGCCACCTTATATATTTATATGTAAGGCTTTACTGATGTGCCACAATAATGTCACAGTGTAAGAAAAAGTTTTTAGAGAGTACTTGTCCATGGACAAGTGAGTTTGGCAATTTACTTGTCCGAATACATTTTTCACTTGTCCAGAAAAATCGATTGGCATCGTATTTTACATTTTCCCACGTTTTTTACGGTAAGATTTTACTGCATCACACATAGGGATGGGTATCGTTTGGATTTGAACGATTCCGGTTCTGCTTTTCGATTCCGGTTCTTTTCGGTTCTCGATTCTGGTTCGTTGAGAGGGTAAAAATAAGTCCCATGACAAACTGGGAGAAAAATATATTTATGAAAACATTAAGTCAAATCTGTATTCCTATTTAAAAATCACTTCATACTGTTTAATTTTGTTACGGTTATTGAATACAATTATATAAAAATAATTGTTTAGTTAGTTCTAAGTGGTGCAGTTTGAGAATGTACAATTGGCCCAGTCTCCTCTGATGTTACACTGCAACCTGCCTGTGAGACAGAGTCCAACCACACAGTCTGTGTGTCCAACACATGTCCTGCAATAAACATGCTGCAGCTGCCCAGCTGCTCACTATTTGTAGAAGTAAATAAATAGTATTTTCATTTCAATAATGTACTTTCTATACCCTGCTTCATAAACAATACTGACATCCCTGTGCTCCTCCGAGTCTGGGGGTCCGCGGATGTGAGGACAGCGCGAGGACACAGACAGGGAGGCTGATTTAATTCATAAAGGAAATGGCGGTCAATATTAACAATATAGGAGCTAAAACGCTTAATAACCTTCATTACGTGTTAGAGAAAGAACATAAGAAAGTTTGACAAATATGAGGCTGTTAAACGGGCAGCGAATCAGCTGATACGGCAACACGATACGGAGCATAGGGAGAGAGAGCTGCGGTCCGCGGGGCTCAGCCTCCGCCTCCTGTCCTCACAACTCTTATTAATCCCGGTACCGGACAATTGTTATTAACTTATTTGTTCTTACTCGGAACCGAGTTTTGCTTCCCAAGCCTGCCAATGTGCTACACGTCCCGCCCCGCCCCCATCTAACAGTACAGAAAGCGGCGAGATGCATTTCCTTAGGAATCGACAAGCAAAACCACAACAATGGCGGACACGGACAATTTACGAATAGTTCTGCCTTTTGTAAGCTGAATTTATCAATAATTTGTCAATAAATAAGGGCGAAAAACTTCACTTGTCCGTGGGACAAGTCAATTTAAAGATCGACTTGTGGCTTTCCAAGTTAACATTGATTGATATGACTGCGATTAAATCAGCATATACTTCTGCCAGGGGATGCCACCCGTCAGAATCTCCTGCCACCCTCTTGCCACCCCATGAATATTTGTCTAGATCCGCCCCTGCCTACATTTGATTGATTTTGCTAACTTATAACTGAACTTATGAGGCAGTAAACCTCTAGTGAGTGGCCCAGCCCTTCGTATATATTTTTCTGTATGTGGCCCTCGGTGAAAAAACGTTAGGACACCCCTGCTGTAAAGCATTCACTCAGGTACTACAAACTGTAAAGTTCACAGCTCGTTAGTGTTTCTGCAGCTTCCTCCTGACCTGTGCTTCTTGTGGTCCCGGGATGAGCTCCGGCGGTCGCGGCTCTTTCGCTCTCGGCTGCGGCTCCTCTTCTCTCGACTGCGACTCCTCTTCTCTCGGCTGCGGCTCCTCTTCTCTCGGCTGCGGCTCCTCTTCTCTCGGCTGCGACTCCCTCTGTCTTTGCTCCAGCTGCGGTGCTTGTCAGCTCGGCCGGTAGATTCACTGCGACTCCTCTTTTTGTGCCTTTCTCTTTCTCTCTCTGTGCAGCAGCAAGAAATAATTATTATACATCTGGTAATATATACACTTGATAATACTGCATGTAGAAGAGCTGAGAAAATCAATTGATTCAACCACTGACTGAAAAATAATAGGCAAAAACTGTGATAATCCTTCTCTGGAGACGTATTAGGGCCACTGATGTTTAAAAAAATTGTAATTACAGAGCCAGGGATGGAGGTAAAATTAAGATAAATAATGGTTTTGTAACTTAATTATTTTGATTAAAGAGAGTTTTTTCACACAAATGTGAAACATAACAATCATTAAAAGGGAATATTCAAGATTTGTATGTTTTTTTCCAGTAATCTGTATTTCATATGAATCTTTCTTTCAATTTTTTGCAAATGTACATATTTATAACCTCAGAGAATATCCAAGTTAATTTTCTTGTAAATGTACTATTTGATTCTTGTTCATTTCGAGATTTTTCTTTTTTCGAATATTGTCCCCCTCCAGCAACTATTTTTTTAACCTATATGGTATGTTGTATGCTGTGCCATTAAATCACATATTATCATCGTGTGCACATGACATTTAGTAATAATATTCCTTCACCTTTAAGGGTATTGAATACTTATTGAACACTCTACATTGTGGTATTGCTACTAATATTAAAGGAAAACACATGCTTGTTTTTTTGTGATTGTGACCACGAATATTATTTTGGATATATCAAAAATAATTTCTTTAGAGAATCGTAACAATTAATAATGGTTGCAGAATAGAAAAGTACAACAAAAGAATTAAGAAAAAGTTAACGTATTTTAATTCTACAAGTACCTTTCTTTACAGGAGGGGATAGTAATTTAAAAGTTGAAATAATGTGATGGAGTTTCGCTTGTAGCTGTTTCGCAGACTAGAAAGTCAGGTAAGTTCTCAGCGGAACCAGAATGCCTTCAGTGATGCAAGTCAATTTACCAAAGGCTCTATAGTGGCTTAAGGATGGGGATGAGATGCTAACATAAATTAGCCGAGTCATGTTGTGGGGAAAGTACACTCTAAAGTTGCTGTCAGGTCGGGTCATTCATTAATTCATTTATTTACGGGGGCTAACGTTTTGCACTATGCTAGCTTGTGGACCAAATTGGGGCACAGTTAGTTCTCTTACCCTGTCGATTTTCGCTGAGCTGTTTCTCAAATTCTTCGAAATCCGACATTGTACCGGTTGTCACCGTGTATACATATATATTGCAGGCCTGTCACTGTCTGAGAGGGAAGATTAACCAACCAGCCCGCTGAGTGTCAGTGCAGCAAAACCACTCAAATATCCCAGGTGTCAAAGCAGAGCTAGTGTATATAAACTACATCCGGTTACAACCTTCAAAATAAAATGTATTCTTTGACTCATTTGGTCCATACCTTGTTCATTGGTATACAACAATCCAATAGCATTTTACAATAAAAAAGCAGGTATTTAGCAAACAAAGATAATAATAAATGAGAAGAAATACATACAAAAAATACTATAAATAATATTTATATTAAGAGGAGATCATTAATAAATACAAATATTTGATTTTTTACCAGCCACATATTATCGCACTTTAATTAATAATCCTGTTGAAAATAAAGAATATAATTTAATACAAACACACAAGATACTACTATACTGCACATCCATGCATGTCAGGAGAGTCACAAACATTATTTATTCCTCTTTATTTGAAAGTACAGATTGTGTCGTTAACAAGTAAAAAAAATATTTCAGATTCCCAATAATTATTTGTATTATAAGCATTTGAATAAGATTTTTTTTATTACCATTAATAATAATAACTTACGTTATTTCCTTTTTTCTTCCTATATTGTTTTTTTCCTATCATATTTTGAAATATTTAATACTGTCATATGTTATATGTTTTTGTCAAAAATAATCTTTGCCTTATTTTGCATTTTCTGTAGTGACACAAGTCAAAATATAAATAAAATTGACTTTATATACACAAATCCTTAGAATGCAAGAACAGTAGGCCTACACCTGAAAATGTTCCCAATGGAAACCCCTCTCTTACCCTCCGGACCCCCCCGCCACTCTCATGTCACTTTACACATACCATGTCTACAACACACGTGGAAAATAGCTGACTCAGCTGTGCTGCTATTAAAAGAGCTCAAATCCCAAAGTATTGCTGTGGCAGCCTGCAGACTGTCATGTTGGAGGAGCTGTGTGAGTGAGCTGCAGAGATATACAACCCAGAAGACCTACAGAAGCCTGAGAAGCAGTAAGTGTTGGCAGATAATTAATTTCTCCTTGAAGGATCCAGGTCAGCTACACGACCAGCTTACGTTTATCTATCTGAGCTAATTGCCAAAACACATTTTCTACTGGTTTTATCTTGGATTTGATTCTGCACAGCTGTTGCAACACAAAGTCTTCCATTTCCTTATTTTCTGGTTAGTTTGTAATTGTGTTAATGTATCTCTGTCGTGGAATAATGTGAATACAACTCTATGGCATTGCGCCTTTGTGTGAGATACAGTATCTATTTATAGCACAGTTTATATTTAGACCAGCAGCCGGTGCTTGGAAGGGTAAACCTAAACCAAAATTCCCTGTTGGACAAATCTGGAACGCGTGAGTGCCCGTCTTTATGATCTGATGACAATTAACTGGCCTCGTCAAGGAGTTTCTAACAGATTACACTTGATGTCAAGATATAAAGATTCACACTCTAAAATAATCTGTAATTTAAACAGAAGTCCCCAAAACCTTGTAGACACATACTGTATGGTTGTTTTGCGTCACTTTGTGGTCATTTTGTGTCTGTTTTTCATATCTGTGTATCTTTACATTTTGGTCTTTGTGTCTCTCTCTTGTTTTTTGTGTCTCTTTATGGTTGTTTTTTGTCTTTTTCTGGCCATTTTGTGTCTTTTTTTTGGCCATATTGTTTTTCTTTGTAGTTATTTTATTGCTCTTTTTTGTTGTTTGGTTTGTCTTTCTGGCCAGTTTGTGTAATTTGTTGTCCTTGTGGTCATTTTGTTGTTGTTGTTTTGATTGTTTTGAAGTAATTTCTATCTTTTGAAGTTAGTTTTTGTGGCCCTTTGTAGTCATTCTGTTTTTCATTTGTGTTGTTTTGTGTATCTTCATGTTTGGTTTATGTTTGTTTGTCTCAAATGTTGATATACTTTAAACTGGCACATCAGACAGAGGCTTTGATCTTTGGAAAAAGTCAGTAAAAAGTCGAATTTTAAAGGGGACCTATCATGCAAAATGCACTTTTGTACGTCTTTTATACATGAATATGTGTCCCCGGTGTTCCAGGGAACTCACCAAGTGTCAGAAAACACAACCCTCTCTATTTTCCTCCATACCCAAATCTCTAAAAAAGGGGCTGCAACGGATCTGATAAAAACTGATCCAGATTTGAACACTGTCCTGACGTCAGGACGGTGGCGCTACGGCTATTGGGCCAACTCCACCAATCAGGAGGAGACAGCCACGGCCATTGCCGTTCGAAAGCGCTGGAGACGTTGTAGTACATATGCCAGGCCAGTAGATGGTGCTGTTCTGCCCTGATCTGCCCTTACAAACACAGAGCTAAAAAAGTGCAAATTGAGCAAAATGAGGCATGGCTAAAATGCATGATCTGTTTGGTATTTTGAAAAAAAAAAAGTATAAATATGCCTTATATAGGTATGGTCCTACACTATATTATTATAATATAGCATGATAGGTCCACTTTAAAATTCAAAACAAATACTTGAATCCTGCTTTCTCCACCTGCCCCCACACAACTTACATGTTTTACAGTTTTAACATTTGGAATTGTAATTTTACCTTATGAAGCACTTACTAACTGTAGATTGCAAATGTTTAGAAATTAAATAGTTTGTGTTTGCAAATCCAGTAGGCTACTTTTTGTTTTCATGATTAATGTAAGATCATGGTTTAAAACTGTCTTCTCTGTTTTTATTTCAGAGTTGTAAGAGTAGTTAAATTTAAAAATGGTTGTAACAGGTGAGATGGAGTCCAATGTTACGGAGCCGGAGAGCTTTTGGGTAGGACACGCTCCTTTTTATCCTGTAAATCATGTTCATTAGATCCTTCACGGTCGTTGACGTTCCATCCCATCTCATATGCATCATCAGAAAAGACATTTCACATCTTAAAAGTATGACAAAAACCCAAAACATGCTTTAACAACGAAAGCTTATTCTAACTTTTCACCGGAAAGCAAATAAGCGGAATTCCCAGAGTGTCAAACTCATTAAATATTATGTGCTAGCAATGACAAAGATATATACGTTCTTGTTTTATTGAAGTTCTGCATATTAAATATGAAATAAAACGTTTTCCAGCAATTCCTCCAGGAGATGGACCCGGTGTGGACCACCACTGTCCTGCTGGTGCCATGTGTGGTGGTGCTGACAGCTGGATTGTTCTACCTCTACAGCACGGTCGTGGGTCTATTGTCCAAAACATCTGTACGCAATAAAGTGGTGGTCATAACCGACGCCTTATCTGGGCTTGGAAAAGGTAACATGCGTCGTTTCGTATGTATTAAAGATTCGTTTAAATTAAAGATTCGTTTGAATTAGTTTTTAATGTCTTTTTTTGCGAGACTCTAAAGTCTTGAAGTCTCATGTATTGGTAAAGAGAAGTTTGAGATTTGGAGATATTTTGTATCCATAACATATCTTCTTTCAGACTAGTTGAACAAAAAAAACATTTAGGTGATTATTTTAATAACTTTTTTTGTGTCCTAAAATCACCAGAGGTCTTTATTAGATAATGCCTCATTTGCATATTCACCTGTATTGTGAACACAATGTATGACTTTCACAATACAGTATCTTTAAGGCTGTTTTCTCAAAATGAGTTTTCTCCACTTCACTAGCATTTGAATAAACAAACCTTTCCAGTGTTATTTTTAATCCATATTATGCAGGTTTTTACCAAAGGCCTTGTTTATTAATCAGAGACCCGAATTATCTTAAAACAAAAAAGGGTCTGAAATGCATTTTTATGGTTGTTTTCAGAATTGTTTTGATATATCCAGGGATTATAAGATATATCTAAAACCCCCTCTGTAAAAACCTTTGACTGTAATTTGTCAACAAAATGTTCAATGGTCAGATTACTTTTCTGAAAATGAATGGAAATGTAGCACATCTTTTAGAAGGTAATGCTTAATTTGCATACCTACCCCTGTTATATTTTGGACCTACTCTTACAACACATTTTCTTAGATTGTTCATGTTTGCACCACCATACACCAAAGCAAATTCATTGTATGTGTAAACGTACTTGGCAGTAAACTTGATTCTGATACCTCTAATATGAATTTAATGTAAGTCATCAACTTGTGAAATGTCATAGTGATATCTATATGTTAAATGTTTTACCCTGTTCACCTGTAGTGTCTCTGCTCTATCAATGCAGAATGTGCAGATATGTTTCACAAAGGCGGAGCGAGGCTCATCCTCTGTGGGAAGAGCTGGGAGAAACTGGAAGAGCTTGAAGATGATTTGGCAAATGCCTCAGACCCAACTTTGGTAAGTACTAAAACAAGTAACAGACACTTTTTATATGAAATAAGTCATACTATGCTCATTTTCAGGTTCATATTTGTATTGTATTCCTCTACTGGGACCTGTCTACATGCTTTCATGTTCAAAAAGGTGTTTATTTTTCTCATACTGCCTGGTTTCACCCTCTGAAACCAGAGCCCAGTCTGCTCTAGGCTAGCTTGCCGGCTCTGTTGTGATTGGTCCACTGCTAATAGAAGCACAAGTGTTTTGTACTGATGTCATTATGTTATGGAAGTAAACAAAGAAGTCACTAAAATGAAGACATAAAGTAAGCATACATTTAGTTGAGTAGAAGTGTAAAGTACCAGAAAAGGGATGAAGTAAAGTCCGTGTTCATCTCTGTTTCTCAGACGTTTCCCTCCAAACTGGTGCTGCTGGATTTTGGAGACATGGACAGCCTGCCGGACGTGATCTCAGAGATCCTGGAGTGTTACGGCTGCCTGGACATCGTCATCCTGAACAGCAGCTTGAAGGTGAAGGCGCCAGCACAGACCGTGTCTTTGGAGATGGACAAGCTGCTGATGGACAACAACTACTTCGGACCGGCCACGCTCGCCAAAGGTAGAAGCTGGAGACACAATTAGTATGTTAAAGTATGACACAGTGTTGTTGTAAAGGCTGGGAC